CGGCGCCGCGGCCGGCCCGCCTGTAAGGGCCGGCCGCAGCGAGCGACGCAGCGAGCGCGACTGAGGCAAGGCCGGCAGGCGCAGCCGAAGGAGCCGGGCCTGCAGGCCCGCGCGGCATCGAAAAGGCCGCACGCAATTCACTAAAAAGATAGCCCTAAACCCTGGTACGAAATGGCGCTTGCACCCTTGGAATCCTTTCGAGATTGCTTTTGGAACTCAAAATGCTCCTTTACAAGGCTTCTTAGGCTCCTTACAAGGCTCAGCTCCATACAAAGCTCCTTACAAGGCTCCTCACAAGGCTCCTTACAAGGCTCCATACAAGGCTCCTTACAAGGCTCCTTGCAAAGCTCCTTACAAAGCTCCTTACAAGGCTCCTTACAAGGCTCCTCACAAGGCTCTTACAATGCTTTTACAAGGCTCCCTCAGCTCCATACAAAGCTCCTTACAAGGCTTTTCACCAGGCTCCTTACAAAGCTCCATACAAGGCTCCTTACAAGGCTCCTTACAAGGCTCCTTGCAAAGCTCCTTACAAAGCTCCTTACAAGGCCAGGAGGCCTTTGTAGCGGGGCGTAGCGGGGTGTAGCGGGGCGCCCCGCGACAGTCCCGCGACAGCGCCCCGCTACATTGTAGCAGGGCGCCCCGCTACACCCCGCGACGCCCCGCTACAAGGGCTGCAGCGGGGCGCCCCGCTACACTCAATCTCTTGACTTTAGTATTGTAGCGGGGCGCCCCGCTACGGACCTCCAGGTAGATTACCTTCCGAAGCTGGAGAACGATTAAAAAATGCGTTTTTCAAAATATTATAAGTGGTGGTAACGCCGCGTCGGTCCCCGCTGGGGGCCGCCCGTCTCAGCGCCAATTTTTGCACGGCCTTGCGCCGCGCGGGCGCGATTTCCCCTAAGTATCTGGAAAGGGGCAGGCGGCACTCCATGGTCCGGCGCTTAACTAAATTAGGTTAATTTGTGCACGCTGTGTGCTGTAAAGAGTCAGGACCTAGAGTTGCACTCTAAGACGTCTTGTCTTAGCATAGCAAAGCTTTTATGCTGCTTCCCAGCCCCTGTCAGGACTTGCTTTGGCAACCTGGCCCGCCGCGGGCCCTGCTTCCTTTTTCTTCTTGGCGCTAAAGACTTACTACGTCGTGTCTTCCGGCGGCATTAGCGTTTTTTGGGATGGGCAGACAAGCGTATGGAAAGACGCCTATACTATTGAGAAACATTCGGAGTTGGGATAAACGGGCGTTGCTAGTGTTGTTTCCTGCATTGTTTTGCTTGCGCGCCAGGATTCATGGTTGACGGAGATCATCTTCCACGCCAAGGACGGCTGCTGGAGAAGATCGGAGCGGGATGGCAGCGCCAGGACGGGGCTTTGCGATGAGCGCAGACAAGGAAGAACAACGCAGCACACAAACAACAGGCTAGGCAGGTCTGAGCTGTTCAACAGACTCTTGGCCCCGTCTTGGTTTTCGTTCGCCGTCTCAGGATCGCGCGAAGAGGGCCTGCGGCCGGAGAAGGACTTCTTTGGCAAGGACTTGGTACGGGACCTGATCAGCAAGAACAGCAGCTGGCGGGCTAGTCCTTCGGCCAGATCGGCGGCTGGCGGACCTGTCCGCGGGCGACCTCTGCTGATTTTGCACTCTCACAACCAAGTCGTGCTGAGAGTTTTTCTTCGAACTCATTTTGTCGCAAGCACTCATCTTTTCAAGCGGATCACAAGTCTCACTCGTCATCAACGCGCTCCACAGAGAGAAAAAAAAGGCTGCATGATCTTGCCCTTTCCACATTTGACTTGTTTCAAGTTTGCGCCTTGGTTGCGCAGACGCGAGTTTTTGCCAGAAGTGAATTTGAGCTGCGGCTGTCTAGCGATCGATTCTCCAAGCGGCCTTCAGCGTAGCGTCATGCCTGCCTGGACCAGGAAGCAGCGCCGCCCTGCCGCCCAGAAGGAGACTGAGGGCAAGAAGAGCCGCCCAGAACCTTCCGAGCGGTTTCCCAAGTTCATCCTGGCCCCGTACGCAAGCCCGAAGGGATCCCCATTCTTTCTTGCGGGGCGCAGCGAGAAGGATCTCCTGGACACCAAGTGCATCGCCTCTTCCCGCACTGCGCGCAACTCGGAAGTGGCTGCGCTTCGCTTAGGCGTGGCTGTCTCGGAAGCTGCGGGTGTGGGGGAGATGGCCGCTGGTTTGCTCGCGGACGCCGCCGCGGACGAGGGCGGCGTGGACCAGCTGCTGGGGCCGCTCAGTGAGTGGATGGCTTCGGATCATGGCCAAGCTTACCTGGCAGCTTGCAAGCGTCTCAACAAGCCCAACGAAGATGAGACACGGACCCCGACGTCCGTGGCTGCGGCGGTCTCGGATTGGCTTGCGGGCGTCAAAACGCTTGGCCAAGGCCACGAGCGTGACCTGCGCAAGCTTGCCCAGATTTCTGCTCGACTGTACTTATTTGCTGCAGACACTTTGGAACACATTGCTTGGGTGGAGCACCCCGACGTGCTTGCAAAGGCCGCGGACAAGAACTCGGCCGCGGCAGAGCTGTCGGCTGTGAGCAAGTGGCTTGCCAAGCCGGACAGCGACGGCACACTGGCAAAGGCTGTTGTCGCGGTCTACCTGAAGGAGGTCTTGCAAGGCAAGACGAGCGGGAAGAAGGAGAAGCCTGTGCGTTTGCGTCGATCGTCTTCTTCGGGCGCAGATGGATCTGAAGCGGCGGCAAGCTCCAGTTCCTCCTCCAAAGCCAAGAAAGCCAAGAAACGCGCCAAGAAGAACGACAAGAAGGAGGCGAAGAAGATGGCCAAGCCAGGCGCCAGGCAACCCGCCGACAAGAAGCGAAAGGAGTCCAAGCCAGGTGTTGCCAAGGATGCGAAGCGCCAGGTTTGCTTGCTGGAGGATTCCAGCCAAGAGTCGCCCAGCAACGCCGCACTGGCGGCTGCGCTGTCTGCCTGGAGTGCGGCGGAATGCGTGGTGGCTCGAGACGCTTGGCGTGACTACGCGGAGCGCCTGCAGTCCGGTGAGACGGACTTGGCAGAGTATGCGGCCATGGTGGACATGGCGCCTCAGTCGGTCCGGGAGGCCTTTGGGCTGAACATCCTGCCGGCGAGGAGCCGGCTGCCTGCGTCCGCAAAGGCGGCTCAGATTTGCGAGTGCATGGAGGCTCTGCTGGCCGAGGCCGACAGGCTTTTCGGTGAGGCTGGGGCATAGGCTGGATCCTTGCGCACGGGCTGCCAGGAAGGACTTATCCAACTGTAGACACCACCTTGCAGCCTAGCACTGTCGCGCGTGAACAATGTTGCTCAAAAGATGCAAAAAAGAAGGCAGTGCGACGGGGCTTCAGCGGTTTGCGCAAGTGCTTGCCAAAGCTTGGCGAACACTGCAGGGTTTGACTCAAGCTTCGCGCCGGCCATGGCTCCTTCACGCAAGCGCCCGGCAGCCGACGCTGCTCCCTTGCCAGCAAAGCGCCGGCTGCGGGGCAAGCAATCTGACCCGACCTACGACGCGGGGCTCCCTGCAGCTTTCCTGGCCTGGCGCGGCGGCGTCATCTACGAGGCCTACAAGCAGCTTGGCGGACAAAAGCGCTGGAAAACAATGGCCTCGCAGCTGCTGATGGCAGCGCCCAACCCAGCCGAGTACGCCAACGTAGCCGCGGCGTACATCGATGCGCTACTTGCTGCGGAAGGCCACGGCCCAATTCCTGGAGGCCCTCTGCTCGTGTATGAGTGGGCGGCCACGCTCACGGTGAACGGCTGGCGAGCAGTGACTCTGCAGCCGGCCCCGCTTCAAGCGACACACTTCTGCCGGGGCCGTCCGGGGGAGCCTTGCCGCTTCTCGGTGGCTGAGAGCGGCGCTCGGGCTCGCTATCAGGCAGGCAGCTGCAGCAGTGCTCGTGGTGCAGCGAGAGCTGGCTGGCGCAGGCAATGGCAGCGCCCAACCGTAGGCGGACGTTGACAAGGGGCTTGACTTTCTTTTGGCGCAACAACACCGGCATCTTTCGGGCCGCTCGCTCGCGGCTGCCGGAGAGCGTGCGGACATGGTTCCCGCTCCGCGCCCTGGGGCTGCCGCCTGCCTTCCACACTGCGGAGGCTGCCGCTGCTGCCACTTCGACCCCTCAAGGTCGCGGCCGCTGCGTGGCCAGCCTCAAGAAACGCGCTGCGGTGGACCCTGCGGCCGCCCGGGAGGCCCTGCTGGCGATCCCCGTGGTGCACAGGGCAGAGATCAAAGCTAAGATGATTGCGGAGCCGCGCCGGGCTCGTCAAGCCCGTGCACGCGCAGACGCAGCCACGGCCGAGAAGTCGGCCTGGGATCTCCGCCGGCGCTTGCGGGCGCCGCCGGCTGTTGAGGAGGCGGAGGTGTATCAGGCACGGGTTGCCGAGGACCGGGCCAGGGTTCAGCGGAAGTTCTTCCCGGCCCGCGAGAAGCTGGTGAAGCACAGCGGTTGGAGGTGGGCGCACAATTTGGCCGAGGAGGTCCGTGCTGCCGCTGATGTGGCTCCCAACGACACGGGGCTCCCGAAGGCTACGTGCGATTTGGCTGCGGCCTTGGAGGGCTGGTGCAAATTGGGCTCCTGGGCCGTTTGCGCAGCTTGCGGTAGCGTGGAGCCCCGCCACCTCAAGGAGATCGACTTGAGGCGCGTGGCCTTGTCAACGACCCCTCACTGCGGCAGTTGCCGGGTGGATGGCCCCGCTTCAGTCCACTGCGTCAGCCAGACACCTCGCCCGCTCCGGGGCTTGACAAAGGAGACGGCTGCAGCCCTGCAGCTTTTGGAGGTGGATTGCGGCTTCTACTTGCGCCCGGACCACGGTTACCGTGTCCACACTGCCCTGGTTCGCCTACTCTGGGTCGAGGAGCCGGTTGAGGCTCGGATCACGGCCCTGCCACGTCGTTGCGATCGGCGGCGCGCTCGCGCGGCCTTGTCCTTCTTGGCCGAGAGCAAAGACTCTGAGTATGGCACCTTCTTGGCCAAGCATCGTGACTTCTTGGCGCAGAACCCGGAGGCGGATGCAGCCACGCGGCGCCGGCCGCTGCAGACCATGGAGGCGCCCGGCGTTGAGTGCGCCATTTGGCCAGACCTCTACCCTGACTCGGGCCTGTGCGAGACGGTGGCCCGGGCAACTGATGAGCGCCGACTGCGGCGCCAGGGCCTCTTGCCAGCGGACCCGGCAGAGGAGTCGGGCGATGAGGGCGAGCCAGGCGTGGGCCGCAAAAGCATCCGGCGCAGCTTCGCCAAGAAAATTTTGGGGCCGATCCTGGACTACGCCGGGGAGTTTGAGCTGCTCCAGTTTGTCCACGACCTGGCCTTGTGGACCGATATTGGGAGCAAGCGCTGCGGCTTGAGCGGAGTGCCTCTGCGAGTGGCCATGAAGGGGGCGCCCTTCGCTCCCGCATATTGGCGAGTGCGCCACGCCGCTGTCCTTGACATGCAGCGCCAGTGCGGCTACCCGGTCTTGTTTAAGACCTGGGCACCGTACGAATGGAGCGCGCCGTACCACCGCGTGCTGCTCAAGCACATGGCAGAGCTGCTGCGCTCTAGACAGCATTTGCCGGGCCCCGAGAGTTTGCACCTTGCCCACATCATGACAGAGCTCTTGCGAGAGTGGGTTGTCGGCGGCGCCCGGAAGTTCGGCGACCGCAGCGCTTTGTGGCGCCAGTCCCAGCTCCAGTCAGTCGGGGAGACTCGCGTGAGGCTCAACTTTGCAGCCAGGCTGGAGTTTCAGGATGGCAAGAGGCGGCAGGCATCTCAAGCCTACCACGGGCGAGGCGCCGTTCACCTCCACGCATTGATCTTTGCAGAAGATGCGGGGCCGCTGCGACTGCACGAGAAGCTTTCAGCCACAGTGCCTTGCGAGGGCCACCCGCTGCGGGGCTATGTCCTCGACCAGCTGAGTTACACAGGCAGCGGCTGGCCGACGCACGACGGGCCTTCCTGCTGGGATGCTGCAAGCGGGGCCGTTAAGCTCCACCACACGGAGTTCGACGCAGAGCAGGGTGTTCGGGCCTACAACGAGACGGAGCTGGAGGTGCTGCGGTGCCACGTCGACAACCTTGCCCCGCAAGCAGACGCTGTCAGCGGACGCGGCTTGCTGCTACGCTACGTCGCGGCCTACGCTCCGAAGATGAATGACAACTTCTCCGAGGAGCTGCTGGCGGAGACAAGCGGCGGCGGCTATGGGGCGGCGCTGCGGGTGCTGTCCTCCTACCGGCCCAGCGAGCCGGAGATGTGGCTCAACTTGTTCGGCAAGAAGTTCCCTCAGTTCGCTCTTGGCGGGTCTATGACGCCCATTGTGGCCCCCTGGCCGGGGATGGAACCGATGCCGAACTTTGTGGAGCAGTACAAGATGTCGGTGTGGCGAGGCGAGGACATGACACTGCTGGAGTTTCTGCGGAAGTCCAACGCCAGGGGCGAGATCGTGGAGTGGCTGCGGAAGAGCCACGCGGCGGCAGGTGTGGCCGAGCCTCTTGAGCACTTTGCGCGGGCCTGCCCTGTCTTTGGGGAAAAGATCATTGCCGCAGAGCTGGTCAGCCCGTTCAACGATAAATACTACGGGCAATGGCTGCTGCTGCACCAGCCCTTCCGTCGCGCCGCAGATCTCGTCCCTGCAGCGGTGCGCGAGGCAGTGCCGCCTCGCTTCCAGTTCTTTGCGTCGGCTTTGCAGGCCGCGCCGGACTACTGGAGCAACGAGCGGCGCGTCCGGGCGGACTTGGAGTTGGCGGCCCACGGCAACGCCTACATCGCCAACGTGCTCGCGCTGGTCAGCGCGCAGCGGGCCATTGTCGACCAGTATCTCTCTGGCGAGCTGACCGCCGCCGACGAAGTGCCGGAGCCGCAGTTTGGGCGAGCCCCTGTCGGGAGCGAAGGAGAGCCCGCGCGGCCGGAGTTCAACCGGATGCAGCAGGTCCTGGAGCAGGCGGCGTTGAAGCGGATGAATCTCCTCCTCGATTTCCAGGATGCCCGCGACGGGGAGACGGCGGAGCGGCTGGAGAGGCAGATCGCCGAGGAGAACAGCCCGCTGTGCTGCATGGGCGAGCCCGGCACCGGCAAGACCTTCGTGGCAGACTACTTGATCCGCTGGGCTGTCGCAAAGGGACTGCGCGTGCTCTACGCGCTCCCGACCGGCCAACTGGCTTGCCGGATGCGACAGCGCCATCCTGATATCGACATTGACACCTGCGCGGGCGCTTTCCTGTTCCACCGCCCGGCCGCTGAAGCCGTTGCGCTCCTGATGGACTACGACGTCGTGGTCATCGACGAGGTCCTGCAGCTCAGCGCCGACGAGTTTGGGCGGCTGCGTGAGATGTTTCTGGCTGCAAACAAGCAGCTGCTGCTTCTAATGATGGGCGACGACTGGCAGCTGCCCAGCGTCCACCCCGTCCGAGCGGATGAGCATCCGCAGTGGCGGTTTCTCCAGGTAGTCACTCTGACCGAAGTCCGCCGCTGCACTGATCCCGAGCTGGCGTCGAAGTTGCAGGCCCTGCGTCGATCCAAGCCAATGGGCGCGGACGGCCAGCGCCTCGTTAACCGGATCTGCCGCAGGCACAAGGCCTGGAGCGGCCACCACGAGCCGACGGCCGAGGACATCGAGAGCGTGCTGGAGCGGACGGAGAACAAAACCACCTTCGTGACGTGCTCGCGGCGGGGGGCCGCCGTCATCAATGGCTTCGCCTTGCAGGTCCTCTTCGAGAACCAGGGCGCCCCGTCTCTGGGCGCGCTCCCCGGCGCCTACGAAGACAACCCGGAGAACTACGACAACCGGGGGGCCCTGCGGCAAGATCGCGCCCCACTGCCGCAAAGGGTTGTCCTCTACGAGGGCCTCCGCGTCGTCTTGACGCGCAACCGGGACAAGCCCAATCACTTCGTCAATGGGATGTCCGCGACGGTGGAGGCCTTCGACGAGCGGGCTGTCTCCGAGTGCTCACGGAGACGGGCAAGCGCCTGGCGGTGTATCGGTACACGGACACCGACGTCCCCGTGGGCCGCTCGGTGTACTACCCCGTCCGGGTCGGGTACGCCGGAACGATTCATAAGTTCCAAGGCGCTGAGCTGGCCCACATCACAGTCTGGCTAGACCGGCCATTCTGCAAAGCGGCTGGCTATGTGGCGCTGTCCCGCGTGGCCCGCGACGCGGACTACTTGATCGGAGGCGAGGTCACGGCGGACGACTTCGTGCCCGCGAAGTGAGGCGGACGACGTAGAGTTTCTTTTGGGAGCCAATAATGGAACCCCGGGGAAAGACTTATCCAGAGAAACTGCCCCGGGTTTCCTTTTCGGAGCTCGAAGCGTCGCAGCGGCCTAGCAAAAGAAAGCGCGAGAGGACTGCGGAGCGAGGCCCCAGACTTGTTGCAAGGAATCGCGTGGCTGGGGAGCGGGCGCGAGCTTGAAGCCCTTGATGTTGGGATGTCGCGGCTCCAGGCTTAGGCCGCCGGTTTGCCCCGAGCTCATGGACAGGCGGCGCGCTGCAGCCGCTGGCGGCGCCGTTTCTCGCGAGGCGCCGACCCAGGACAGCGGGCGTGTCGCGGTCGGTTTCCGACGCGGCTCGAGCGCTTCCCTTCTCATCTGCCCAGACTGGGCTTCAAATTTTATAAAATTCAAAACCCTAAACCCTAATAGATTTGTCTTTGGGTGGCATTGGGGTGGGTTGAAGCAGCAGCCTCGGCGCGCCGCCCCGCGACCCTTTGGGTCGAGGCGCGCCGCTTCGAGGTCAAACCCTAAACCCTAAACCCTAAACCCTAAACCCTAAACCCTAAATCCCTAAATCCCTAAATCCCTAAATCCCTAACAGGCGCAGCATGCCTCGGCCATATACATGGGCATGCGAAAAAGCCCTTCGTGACGCCAGTGCGAACCTGAAGGCCTGCTAGGGTTCAAGCCTAGCAGGACAAACCGCTGTGCGGACTCTGCAAGTGGCACGACAACCCACACTCTTTGGCGCAGCCAATATAGGATTACCCTAAAGCCTGCACCATTTGGCTACGGAGGTCGCTTTGTGCACTGCTGATAACTTTTGCATACGGGTAATAGCGGGGCCTGCCCCGGATGGGGGGGGGTACACGGCGGGCCGCTTTTTGCGTCGCTGATAACTTTTGCATACGGGTAATATGGGGACCTGCCCCGGCTGGGGGGGGTGTACGCCAAGCACAAGGAGCCTTGTGGATCCCTTCTCGCGCTGTTGATAACTTGTGCATACGGGTAACACGGGGGGCTTGCCCCAGCTGGCGGGAGCGCACGCCGAGCACAAGGACCTTTGTCGATCATGCTTCTCGCGCTGTTGATTTCCTTGTTTCAGACGAAGCGGCGAAGCGTGCGCGCAGGTCACCCCCGCGCAAGCGCAGCGCCTGACACGCTCAGTTCTGCGGCTTGCTTGCGCGCTCGGCGCCT